AAAATATACGTTGACAACGCCAGACTGCTGTGAAAACATCTTCAAAAGAAGACGGATTTAGTGTTTCATTGATGCGGCTGATAGAAAAATTTGCAAAACATCAAACAAATACTAATACCGATACCTTTGGAAAGCAAATTAGGAAAATTGATGCTGACAAATATTCCCACCGACATAACAGTGGGCGTTGGTGAGCCTTTGTTTACAATACCCCATTATGAAAAACACCATAAATGCCTCAAAGAAATATGTTTATTCATTTAAACGGTACTTTCATCTTTGGTTTTGGTGACATACAGAACATGTTCTCCTTGAAGCTTATTATCTTTTTCTTTTCCCCTGAAGAGGAAAAACAACTTTTCATACACAGGGTGAAGACCTGAAAATGGTGTAGAGGCCATGATGGTGCACGATGTGAGCTACTATTGAAATCAAATGCCTTTAGACTTAATTATGCTATGCTATGGTTGAGGTTTTTTGTTTTTTTTTTGCAATTTAAGTCATTGTAATTTCGACAGAATGCAAAGATCAGAAACAAGAGGCAGAGTTACATAAGCATGTCTTTCCAGATGGGAAAATACTGGGAGAATAATGGTTAGGGTGGTTAGAAATAGCGGACTCCCCAAATTCAATATTGTTTATTTTTTTTCTTGTTTTACTCCCTGTACCTTTTCTTCAGCTGATGCTGCCACTGAAGAAGACGAAGGATCTTCTGAACTTGGATATCCTGACAGTTGGGTCAAGGCTAACCCAGAAGACGCCAAACATCCAGAGATGATTTATAAGGAAGGTCTTCAGAAGATGCTCTGAAGAAAACCCTTGGATTGAGAGGCTCCTATCAGCCCTTGGGATCAGGGGTGGGCTTCAAAAGTTTTAGCAGTGGGTTCTCTGCCTAGTTGCTAGGTGGGCGTGGCCATGGTGGGTCTGGCCTAGTTGGCCTCCTGCACCATGGAGGGGGGACGTTTTCGCCCTCCCCAAGCTCCGGAGGCTCTCTGGAGTTTTTCTGGAACTTCTAGGAGGCCCATTTTCCGCCCTCCCTGGAGGCTTTCCTCAAGCCTCTGGAAGAATGAAAAAGGATTCCCTGGGGCTCTGGAGTACTCTGGAATCCAGAAATGGTTCCATTTCCGGCCATCCAGAACTTTTAGGACGCCCTTTTTTTGCCTTTTTTTCTCAAGCCTCCAGGAGGGCGAAAATGGCCTCCCCAGGCTCCAAAGGCTCTCTGGAGGCTGGAAATGGGCCAGAGGTGGGTTCCTACCAGTTCGCACCTATTTGGTAGAACCGGTTCGTCAAATCTACCGANACTAGATGAAGTCGCCGGATGCTCTTCAAGGGCAGCCCCATGTAGAGCACATTGCAGGGATGGGCAGATGTTGTTGCTTAATAATAGGGCTTGAGCAGGGGGCTGGACTAGATGACCTACAAGGTCCCTCCCAGCTCTGCTGTTCTACTCTGTACAAAAAGCATTGTCTCAGGATGTAAGTTGTTTCAAGTAAAGCTGCTTTTGCAATTGACTGATGGGGATTTTGTGAATTGTGATGGTGTTTTGTTTGTTAGTATTATGATTAGAGCCGTGGTGGCGCAGTGGTTAGAATGCGGTATTGCAGGCTAATTCTGCTGTCTGCCGATTGCTAGCAGTTCGTCAGTTCAACTCTCACCAGATTGACTCAGACTTCCATCCTTCCAAAGTCAGTAAAACGAGGACCCAGATTGTTGGGGGAGGGGGGAATAGGCTGACTCTGTAAATTGCCCAGAGAGGGCTGTGAAGCACTGTGAAGCGGTATATAAGTCTAAGTGTGATTGCTTTCCAAGGGTGCCTTAAAGTCAGCGTTTACTTCTAGTGATTGCCTGGATAAGTCCCTGCAGTTCAAAGGTGCTTTGAAAACAGTTTGCTCTTTTATTTTCCCCCTAGAGGTGTGTGAGAGAATGACAATGTTCTGACCTGGCTCCCAAGCACGACAAACCCTCTGTAGTTAAATCAATGGTTCCTTTACTATGAGCGCCAGCAGCCCCGGCAAAAAGTCTCTCTCTCACACACACAGCAGGCTAACAAGTCTGATGAATAGTTGTCTGCCACATCTATTTATCTCTGCCCTCTGCCTTTCATCCCCAGGGCTAGGGTGAGGCTTCACTAGCAGCGATGGCTTTTCCGTCCCAAGGATCAGCCCATAGATTTCCACTGTTCTCCTCTCCTCTGCCTTCTGCACATCCATGCATCCAGCACTGCATCCAGCGGTTCCTCCTCTTCCTCATCATCCACCTCCAGACCTGGAGGGTTTGACTGTCCATCTGAGGGCTGAAGGACAGCCCAGGCTCTGCCTCTCCCTCCCTCCCTCCCTCCCTCCCTCCCTCCCTCCCTC